ATTAGATATTATGATCATATTTGACAAACTTGGGTCAGTCTTGTCACAATGTCAAAGAAAAAGATGATGATTATAATAGTAGGTAGTAATAAGTGCAGAGAAGATCATCACAGTTAAATATGCAACTTATGCAGTTGCAAAAAAGAAAGCCTGAAAAAAAAAAATCAGGCTTGTGAGCTCTTACAGAAACATGTAAAGTTGAAGGTTTGGCCTGTCGCATCTCCAGGGCAAATCCATAATCAAGATTCCCTGAAAAAGATAAAAGAAGCAGTTCAGGGGTGGATCTAGGGGGAGGGTGCAGGGGGTGCGCACCCCCCCTGGGATGACCTGCGGTTTTCTAATACAACTGGTATTCTGCCAAACTATGTGGTTTATTGGTGTTGAAGTAGAGCAAGAGAAGAGTGCACCCCCTCCTAAAAAAAATCCTGGATCCGCCCCTGCAGTTGTTTACTATAAATTTTTTCAATTACAAGTTCACTGCTCTGTAAAAATGTAGTTCCTAGCTTCAGAGGTGTGAGGTGTAGTCTAAGTACAGAATTCATGCGAGCACAAGAAGAAAAAATCCACTTTTCCTGGACTGTAGAAAAGATGAACCTTGCTTCGAGCCCTGGGACTACATACTTCAATCAAAAGTTAAAAACATACAATTGACAAACAAAACACTACCTACCAATTTTCCTTGGTTTAGTATCTCTGTATAAAATCTTAGAATAATTGACCTGAATGTCAGGTTGAGACACATCCAGAGTAACAGTTGCCGGTATAGTGCACATGTTTACTATGGCCTCATAAAAGACAAATTTATCATCAGCGAGGAGGGAGCATTGCAGAGTTGTGCTGGATGTCTTACCACATGGAAATGGTGGACGTTCTGAAAATGGAACAATGAACGATGTCTACCTTATGGTGATTCAAATAAAAGGAGTAAAGAAAGGCATGGACCAACTCTAGGTGTCCATGTTACAGAGGTGTCCGTTAACCCCTCAAGTCCCAAGAGTGGCCAACATCAATTTTCTCCTAACAACAACCATACATAATCAAGAGAAAAGGTTATGAGAGGTAATAAAATCATCAGTTAAGTGAAAATTCTTTGATCTTAAAACAAATTCTCTCAACTAGATTTTTTTAAGGAACCATATGGAGATCAGTGTGGAGAATTTTTAAGTTGATATTGGGGCTTAAAGAGTTAAGGGAAGGTCCACTGTACAACTGTTTTTTAGGGTTCCCTGGGCGAAGATTTTAGATTCTTTTAAATCTCAAACCTGGAACCATAGACTACAACAGAGGATGTGAAAAATCAGGCATAGTAGTGTAGAACCTGGTTAACGCAGACATTAAGAGAAGGTACCAAAGTCTACTCTGACAGTGCATTTTAGCCACCAATCACCTTACTTTTCCTCTCGGGCAACTTGAAAATCATAGTTTTTCTTTCACAAAAATCATAGACTGGACACCCTGGATTCAGTTTACAGGCTCAGAGGCGAGCACTTGGCATTTTCTCAGAGTGCAGCCTTTAAAATGTTTAAAATCTGGGTATCTCACCCTGTATTAACCCTATACTCACAGTATCCAAATAAAAATTATCAAAACTGATCTCTGTACATTTCCTTGAAGATTTAGTTGAGATAATCTATTAAAGAATAAATGCATTTTCCCCCTTGTAATACTTTTATAATTCTTGCAACCTTTCTGCTTGATGAAGCATTGATTATTTTTTAGGAGAAAATATTAAAATATGTATAAGGTCACTCTTGGAACCAGAAGCATGTAACCCTATTATATGCTTCTGTTGGGACTTACAAAAAAGGGTTAAGCAGCCTTTTCTTCAAAAATAGTTCATAGCTTTGCTTTATCACTGTCATTTTCACTTCACATTTTGGTTGGACACCCTGAGCACAAAGCCAAACTTTTAAAAGATTGTTGGCCAAATGGAATGATCAGTTAAAAAATTCATGCACCATGTTAAAAATATTATTGTTCCATGTAGCTGGGGAAAAAAATTTATCTGCTTGTAAACAATCTTGAAACTTGCCAATCAAGTGAAAACGATCTACTAATTAAACGTTTAAAATAAAATCGTCTTTTAATTGTTGGTCAGCCAATAAAACGAATTTTTTACATCTAGCATATCATAGCAAGACCTGAAATTTGCATGTCTAGAAACAAATGAAACGGAAAAACGGGTCTAATTCCAATCTAAAACTTCCACTATTTTTGTTGGAGTATGTTTGTCCAGATGTCATATAAATAATTGCCGCGTTTTGTATTGTATACAACCGTGCTCAATATTGTTTGCAATACAATTCATGCATGAAATATTTAACAGAATAGCAAATATCATACTTACTGAAACTTCGAGTGACTACTCTTCCATTTAAAGACTGTGGAGGCCTAAAATTATCTTGCAAGTGTTCGTCCTTTGTACTTTGGCGTGTCCTTTCAGAAAGTTCCCTGAAGTGAGCAAGTTGATCATGAGAAATCTTGAACGTGTGATTGAACAAAAACCACTGTACACTTTCGTAACAACCCGGCGTCGTTAGCGAGCCCTTGTAAGTGTAAAATGCAGCAAGATTATGTGGTAGAAATAAAAAAGGCTGTAATGATGGAATAAAAGCAGTATCTGATTTATAATGAGTCGCGTTTAACTTTTTCACTATAGGATCAATTACAGGATTGTCCTTCTCAGAAATCTCGGCGAAGATACCAAGTACTGCTAAGCCATCCTCTTTTTTCATAGCTACTGAGGCGTTAGGATATTTAGTATTAACGTGCACAATGTGTATTTCCAATGGGTATTTTTTCCCCAGAACTTGGTGCTCGGAACCGTACGAGTCATCGCTTCCCCAGTGAAAATGCACCTGAAGGGCTCGATAGGTCGATGGAAGTCCAGCGCCAGAGATATTGGACATCCCGGTCTTGAACGTGGCTTTAACAGTATGTCCATTATTTTGTAGCTCAGCTGAAATGCTTGGCTCGTAATTAACAACAAGGTCGTCGAGCTCTGCATCAAAAATCGTGTGTTTTGGTACAACGTTTATTGGGGACTGTCGGCTGCCGCTGCAAGCTGGATAATGGTACTTCCATGTGCTTGGATCGTCACGACCATGGTAGGACCAGTCTCCGAGGCCCTCTGTTAATAAAGGAACTAAAACAGTCGTGATAAATAACACAGCGATCAAATGAGGACGCTCGAAAGTCATTTCGTTATGTAAGACAACGTCAAAAGCGGGGAAAATTTGCGCGTCAATAAAAGAGCTCAACTCGCTGCTGATCCTCAAAACTGTGTTGCAATGTTTATTAGAGCCTAGTCCTTCGGAGGCCCTATTTGTTGTGTCCAAGTTTCACAGAGACTGATTTGGGGGACAAAATACAACAGCATATAACCATAACTGTCGGAACAGTTCGGATATAGCAATTTCACGTGATAAAAAAGACAAATTTTATCCAACATCAGAGATATTTTAGTTTAAGGCCAATCTTCCGGATGACGAGTTGAAGTAATGACATCATAAATGATGAAGTTTCCTCTTCAAAGATTTCATACTCGCAGTATATTCATTAACACAAACCTTGCTCGAAATATCACGTAATCTTTTCACGCATACAAACCTTCCGATCATTAAAAAAAATAGACTTTGTTTTTCCAAAAATTCAGATAAAATGTCCGAGGTAACATTGAGTAATTGCTTTAAAATAAGCGGTTTAATTTTAATATTGTTGAATGTCCCAGGACTGAAAACATGAAAGTTACGAATATTATTTTAAAAGTCGTGTTGTGTCTGAATATTGGTAAATATTGCAAAACATTTAATGATCACTGTATTTCACACAAAATGTTTCCTGAGACAGCAACTTCCCGAACTGCAGCCCTTAAAAATATTGAGGCGGCGATGAATTCCACTGAATTCATCACATCCTCAGATGATCTATCTGATAATAATTAAATTCATAGATAAAAATCAAGCGGGGAAAAAAACTGGATGAAAGCGCTAATACTAAAACAAAATTTAGTATAAGCACATCACTTAATATTGACTGTATTGTATGATTAGCAACATCTTTGGAGAGCAACGGCTCTGTCCGAGCTCCCGTCACCTCGCGTCACTTTTTCAAAAGAAGTGCGAAAGGAAAGTTTCGTCCTTTTTTTGTCCTTGTTTTTGTTTTGTTCTTTATTTTTCACCATAATCTGTAATTTATAAGGCTAGAGGAGTAAAGTCACCCGGAGAACCTTTTAGTACATAGTTCAAGATTAATCACACAGAAATGAATGAACTTATTTGCAATTAACTGAATGCCGTACCAATTATTAATATGGAGCCATCCACTAAGTACATACAGCTAACGGCTTCCAATTTCAGCCGGTATTGTACATTGTATTTTATAGTCAGCGGAGTACATGTTTTGTCAATGATGAACGCAATAGATGCACGTTCAGTGATGACATAAATGAGTCGCCCACAACTAAGGAAAAGAAATGTAGAGTCTTACGGATCCGAGCACTCGACAATGTTTTAGACATGATGTCGTGTCGGTTGTTAATGACCCGCGTGATGACTTATCCAAATTTCAAGAGACGACTCATTTAAAAACTTTGCTATGGGCGCTATCACGGGTAACCTTGTCATAACCTTGCTAAAATTATGATTGAGTACTTTTCAAATTGCATAAGCGGCACCTTCGCATAACATCAAAGAAATGGCTGATAAGTGGTAAATTAATAATAGAAAACCAACAACAGCAACAACAACAACAAAAAAACACATTTGTTCGAGAGGCACGATAATTAAGACAGCCTATCTTTTTCAATTTCCAATTTTTTTCCTTGTCTCAGTCGTTCATGGCGCAAGAAATCGGTAAATAGTTTCCTGGCACTTTTAAGGTACTTCAGGAGCACTTAGGTGACGTCTTATATATCACATCTTTGCGTTTGTCCAAAAGTCGTCAGTTCCTAACCTTTAGCCGCTTCAAAAGGTTTTTTTTTTCAAGTGCTGTTACGTATTTTCTCAGTAGCCATGTACGTTCAGGCGCCAATGTCGTTGGATACGAAAACATAGTCTAGTACATTGAACGCGCTTTTCCACTGACGAGGGATCAAGGTCTATCATGGTGTTTGCCAGGTTTGCCAGGTTTTGTTTCCGCAAAGCTCCCCTTGTACCACCACCACCACCACCACCACCACCACCAATCTGCTGCTAAATCAGCGCTCTATTAATCTAACTTCTAACTCATTAAGATTGTAGTTAAATCAGAACTAGGGAACGAAGTCCAAAGTAATCAGTCTCACTTCCCACTCCATTAAACCAATATCCCTTCTCATGCACTTGCACTTGCACTTGTTATTTGAGTGTCAATGTATTTAGCACGAAAGTGCTAATTGGGGACACTATATTTTACGTCTCCTAATGGAAATGGGACCGCCATTTTACGTGGTCATCCGAGCCACGCGAAGGTCTCGCCGCTTGCAGTGCAAAGGAAGTACCTTCATTTCTCAGTCATTTTAAGACCCTGAGTAATGGTCCGGCCCCCGGGAATCGAACCCGCGACCTCCCGCTCTGCAGTCAAACGCTCTACCGACTGAGCTAATCCTGAAACGGTTAATCTCATTCTTTTCCCGTCAACTTTAAACCAACTTCCCCTTCGCATTCTTGGTAACTCTGCGGTAGCAGCAGCTGACCACAGCCCTACCCACTCACCCCCTACTCTATCTCGCTTTACTGTAGACGCATATGCTTTACTTTAGTGGTGCCCTGGTGCAAAGGCTTCGCTTGCATGCGCTGATACACGCATGTGCGACACCAATCTCAACACGCATGTGCGACACCAATCTCAGCACATGACGGCCCTCTTAACAACTGCAGTCACCCAGAAGTTCATCACACTTGAATGTCCATCCCTGTAAAGGCTCTTGGAGATATCAGCTCGTAAAATGAGAGAATGGTTTGTGAATGGCGTCTATATGTTAAATGCATCGTATTCACATAAAGTTTTAAGTTCAAGGGTCGTGAATGAACTTTTCCTTTATACGAATTTCGTCTCCCTAGGCAATTAACCATTCATCTCAGACTGGAAAGACAGTCGGCTGTTTTACTCGCTTCAATTAAACTTCAACGTACGTACTGAATCGCAGGACTCCCAAGCCACAAAGATTCAAAGGTCTCTGACATTATATCTATATCATATCTTTTGCTCCAGACCTTTATTATCCGGACACAAGTTGCAATATTGCACGCAACGTGCTGACACTTCTCGTCCCAGATTTCGCGCAGCATTTGCCAAGTGGTCTCTGGATGTACAAACGGCGATGCTGTCAGCCAGCGCTCAAATTAAAACGGAAAATCTGATGCTGAAACTTAAAATTCGAGTCACCAGTCTCGTTAAATTGGCTTTTCGCACCTCAACATTTTAAAGTAAATTTTCTTCCTCGCAAGCTTAGGGAGTTCTCAGCTCCATCTTTTGGGGGTTGCCCTGAAATAGGCATAAATGTCATTTTATCTTGGTAAGATGTCGCACTTGTCTGACTTGTATGTAGCCGTTCCAACTTCTCTACATTTAAAACGGATGCGCGGACTTCCAACTCAAGAAATGAATTCTGGTTCTACCTCTGCGTCATTGCGCACATCAAAGAGTCGTCATCTGTGTCCCTTCTGTAACATGCTGTGCAATAAATTTCCGCACACGCCGATAAACTGGCTTAAGTAAAAGACGGTTTCTTCATAGCGCAAAGCCATCAGAAGGAGAGCCTTCCTCTCGCAGCCTCATGGGGAACTTTTCCTCTAGTCCTCTAGTTAAACAGCCAATTACGCATTTTGCTAACGTTTATTTATCCGAGATACGTAATTGTTATCAGATAATGGTTACCCGGTAATCACAACACATTCACTTAAAACTTTTATTTCATTTCTTGGTGTACATCTCTCTCATAATAAGCATTATTATTCTTTATCACCGCCACTGTTATTATAAAATGTTCCTCATTAATTAGCTTATTTCATGAAAGCGTTTCATCTTCAAGATCGTATCAAGCAATGTTCCCGTCCACACGTATCCGGATATTTTGAAAACGGAGTTTTTTCTCCGATCCGTTTTAGCCTTCCGTCCACGCGTAATCGGCCTTCTCGGGCACCAAAAACGCAGGATTTCGAAAACGGTCTCCAGAGTGGAGGTTTTTGAAAACGCGCCCGGTGGACGGAGGTTTTCGAATAAGATTATGACATGAATCATATACTACTAGTATTACGCATGCTTTGTAAAGAATGCTATGAATCATATTTTAATCGTTTTAGGCTTTTAATGTGGACGGGCGAAACGATTTGCGTGGACGCGTTTTTCTTTGAAAACGGAGATTTGGATACAAGTGGACAGGACCAAAGACAACTCAAGCTTGAACAGGCGGCCTTCCATAAATATATATCTCTCCTGAATGAATGATGAGTGTTTGCCAAGAGCCATATATATATGGCTCTTGATGTTTCCGTATTTTAGATTTTACTATTTAACAAAACTAGCGAGCGCCATAAAATTTACAGCTAAAATGCAAGTCTGTGAATAACCACATAACGTAGCAAAAATAAATATATAGTCCTTTCCTAACATACCGGTACTGTATTACAGAGGGTGGCTCACTGAAACTCCTATCGCAAGGTCATTTATATTGCCGTGCGAGATAGTTTTCATGTAGAATATGCAATGGAAAGTACTTTCTTGTGGTACTGTACAAGTGGTTCTAACTTTTCAGTCTGTGGATGAAATCCTAAAGTGTGACCATTTAAATGAAAGCTACTGAGCAGTACTTTCCTGTGTTACTGTTTATTACGCTGTGCAAGGTGGTTCTAACTTTTGAGTCTGTGGATGAAATCCTAAAGTGTGACCATTCAAATGAAAGCTACCGAGCAGTACTTTCTTGTGGTGCTGTTTATTTTGCTGTACAAGGTGGTTATAATGTTTAAGTCTGTGGATGAAATCCTATAGTGTGACCATGCAAAGAAAACCTGCTGAGCAGTTCTTTCCTGTGCCATAGTACAGTGTATTACGCTGTGCAAGATGGTACTAACTTTTGAGTTTGTGGATGAAATCCTACCCTGCCCACTGAAATGAGAGTGGTTTCCCCGTTGAAACTGTCTATTTTCCAGCGTTTCTGTAAGGCTCCATGGTAATTCCGTTATGGTAAACCGCACTAGGAAAGCGTGGGATAAATTCGAGGTTTTCCTGCACCTGAAAGCCATTTGATGGTCTTCAATATGATTGTAATGAGGGTACCTTAATCAGCTCACAACCATCGAACTAGTCAGTGCGTGCACCCACGGTTGTTTTTCGATCAAACCAGTGTATCTACCCTTTCCTTAAAGTAAGTCACCTCATTTTTCCCGCCAGCATTGAAGATATAAATCGCTAACAACACCACTGGCGCGGTTAGAAAAAATCTCAACGTAGGGTGAAAGTCCAGAAATAGCACTGATGACGTGATCATGACGACATTGGTCAGCTGATTTGCCATCACGTGAAACATGTTGTCTCTGAATTTCAAAATAAACGCCACAGTCAACCCAAAGAAGGCCGTGACAATAATAAGTAGCTTTGCGTGACGGTTAAAACCGTAAAAAAGTCCACAATTAATGGCGGTTGAACGAAACTCGGGTCGTAGAAACAGCGTGGCAGTGTTGAAGAAAACACCAAACATATAAAGCTTCGTATTTTGCAGAAGAATACTGTCCTCCATACCTCCGCTTTCTTTAAAAATTTTTTCGTTGTAAATGTTTGCCGCCGAAGACAGCACGCACTGAACCATAACTAAGACGTGCGCTTCGCCTATCCGAACAGTGCCGACAATGTTTCGGCCACCGTCGGAGATGTTTGGAGACCCCATAGCCTCTTTTAACCTCCCCAAAACGTTCCTACCATCCTCGGAACCAAGAAAGTATCCTTCCGTTGGGATGATAGCTCGTTGAATTCGTTCACGATGTTCGGGATGAAGTTCGTTTTGTTCATTTGAGAGAGACACAATTGATAAAAATAAAATAAGAAGCGAGGCCCACTGGACTCTATTCAGCTTCCTCCTAAAGCGGGGACAAAAAAGGAAACTCAGCGAAAGTAAACGTTCATTAAACGTTTTACGGTCGTTTCGCCTACGAGTCGTTTCGCGACCTGTTCGGTGACTACGTCTAAAGTCGTTTTGAAAAAAGGGGCAAGATCAGTTCCCTAACTTATTTCGCATCTTGGTAACTAAAAAACAAGATAAACAAATATGTATCAGGTGTATCGGACTTTAATGTGTCATGGCTGAAAGAGCGAGGTATATAATATGGGGCTTATATAATTATTAATCATAACTATAACAAATTTCTCAAATCTGATTGGCTATCAACCGTCACGTACGCGCTTTTTTTTTTCACTGCTAGCAAAAAAAATCTCAGAAGTTTTTGTGTATTAATTTTGAAGAAAGCTAAAAAATTCACAAATTTTGTTAAATATAGAATTAATTGGTAGCAAAAACTACGTGTCGTTCAATTTTGTCTGTAATCATAGTCGTGATTAAACGACCGCGTGATTTTGTTTAATCACTCATATGATTAGTAGTAGTAACAGGACTGGGTGAAGTCCAATTCAGTATGTAATCATGCGAGTGTGTCATTACAGACCGAATTGGACGACACGAAGTTCTGTTACCAATTAATCATAACTTTACCAAAATTTGTGATATATAAGGCTCTTTTTTTAAAATCAAAACACAAGAAATTCCAAGACCTTTTTTTTGCGAGCAGTGAAAAAAAAAAGCCATTTAAGCGAGCACGTGATGGCGCGTACTGTCCAATTACTTAGGCATGACGCTTACTGTCCTATTACAGTGAACTGTCCTATTAAGGCTGAAATCAGGGCAGTTGATAGCCAATCAGATTTAAGAATTTTGTTATAGTTATGATTACATACCGTAGTCCTATTCCCATGACGTAGCGTGCTCGTTTCGTTTCGTAAACGAAACCACTAAAGACATTAGCGAAACGACGCTTGGGTGAAACGACCGGTTACCCATCAAATATCCACCGCGGGGATCTACAACATTTGTTCGTATAACAATTGGGTAGAATTCAGCCTCTTTCTTAAAGGATATGTCGCACCAGCGAGAGTTGAATACCGGGACGACTGGTGTATCGTGTGTTTGCATGTTTTCTTCTCATCCAATGACCTTAACGACGACGCCAACTTTTGTCCCCAAAGCCACTGGTCTTAATTTGTGACGTTTCAAGAACAAGTGATTAAAACAAACGACGGGCTCTGGGGATGAACGGTCGACGTCATCTTGGATTGACGAGAATCACGCATGTGCTTACCCACGATGCCGATTTCCTGCCGAACCGAGTGGTTGTTCTGATACTTATTTGCGACTTTCTCACCGGAATGAAATTCTCAATCTAGTGCGGCATCAACTGGGGTGAACACGCGCCGGTGCGGAAGTCGCCCCGGCCCCCGGTATCATGCAACCACGCCCTCAGGCTACCTACATGCATAACCACACGAATCCGTTTGAATTTATAATCGCATAAAAAAGAAGGTTTCCGCCCGCCGTTAATAACAGTTAATATAACGGATGGCTTATATTTTTCAAAGGCCCTTTCTTTTTTGGAGGGGCTTATTTATTGAGGAGCTTATATTCGGAGGGGCTTACCTACGGAGGGAAATTTGCGTTTCAAAATCGACTGGGCTGGCCTTATAGTTGGAAGTAAATTTAACGTTTTTGCGTTGTTTTACTTTGTATTTGAGGGCAATTTTCCCAGTACAAGCCCCTTGGGGGCTTATATTTGGAGGGGCGATTTAACGGAGGGTTTTTTGCGTTACCAGTTTGAGGGGTTTATATTTGGAGGGGCTTATTTTCGGAATTTTACGGTATTTTTGTAAACGGCCTTCTGGGTGGATAGGCTGGTAAACGGATAAGTGTTCAACTATTGTGGACAGCGGCTAACGCACAAGTTTTCATGCGCTTATGTAAATTTTGACGACGAGCAGCTTTTGGAGTGCCTATTTTTTACTTTCACATCATTTATGAGATTATCCATAATGTGTGGAAGAATATTGGGGAAGTACATGTAGTTTTACCCAAGGGCCACAGTCACGACCCAGACATGCGCACTGAGTTCATCCAACAGAGCCATGAAGGAAATTCAAGCTACCCAGTAAACTCAGCATAAAAGTTTTAAAGTGAAATGCTATTCAAAGTTTTTTCAAAAACTAAGCAATCCAGTAAAAAAGGAAAATTAAGTTGAACAAACCTGAGTATAATTCTGAAGAGAACTGCTGTTGAAATGATGACAAAATTCTGCATCAGTATGTACACGGCCTGCAAGCGATAATAAGAAATCAGGGGTGAGGGTCATTAATTACTGTACCCTGTGTGAATTTATCCCATACTGAAAGGAGCAAGGGGAACTAAAACGTTATAGGGGAGAGAAAATTAACATTAGCTGTTGGGGCCTTTTAACTTTGTTTAAATAGCAGTATAGTACTAAGAAAGTTTTTAACATTTCATTGCCACATCTGTTTAAGGAAGCAACATCTTTCTTTTAAGGTAGATTTAGGGAAAACTGGAACAGGATACCCCCTTCGAAAGGTTAAATGTTGTTTTTTGTTTGTCTCATGACAGTTACCTTTCCATTGTTCAAGACATATTGGCCATACCCAAAAAAAATACTTGCCAAATTTTCCAACCCAAAAAAATCCTGGAATCGAAACTTTCAAACCCACAAAATCCTTCCATCATCCCTGTCACGTGAAATCTGGAGTACCTCCCCCCCCCCCCCCCCCCCCAATTATTGCCAAACCCAAAAAAAAAACTTCGCCAAATTTCCCACCCAAAAAAAACCCTGGAACGAAACTTTCCAACCCACCAAAACCCTCCCCCCCCCCCGTCACGTGAAATCTGGGGTACCCCCCCCCCCCCCCCCTCACGGGGTATTATGCAGCTCACTCATGGTGAGGTACATGAATGGATTTCAATCCTATGCATTGCTATTTTCTCATTGGTCTACCCAGGTAATGATTAATGACAGCAAAAAACAAGCCTTAAAACCACACTGCAATGAAGAATATCACATAATTTGGTCTCTTCAAAAAGGCTTCTTAGTTTTAGGTTAAAAAAAAAGATGGGAATTGATGCTAAAGTTAGAATGGAAGAAAGGCTATCTGTACGACATCAAAACATTTACTTTCAAAACTTACAGCAGACAGGTGTAGAAGAATGTAAAATCCTATCAAATTGTCACAGAAATACAGCAATCCAGGAACTGCCCATTTCAAAAGTTGATGCCACTTGATTTCAGAGACAGAGAAAATTTCACTTGCTGATTTTCCCTCTGCACAAAGAAAAAATTGGAAGTTGGAAAGAACACTCCTGTCTGATACAAACACTAACCACGTCAAGTTAATTCAATGTCTACATTGACCCATCTACCGGATTAAGGTTGTGTCACCACCGCAATGGGACATCACAATCTGTCACCACTTATCAACCCCCTTTCATGACCATCTGCAGCATGAATTAATTATCCAGTGTCTCACACACTGTGGCTACTAGAAATATCACCAGCCCACTGGGTCTTTGCAATCTGCTTATTAGCCCTAGGTAAGGGAAACGGTCTCTGGAATCCAGATAATTTTTTCTTTTTTTTTCAATCCAGAATCTGGGAAATTTTTGCTAGTGGAATCCCACATCCTTGGCTTTCGAATCCAGAATACCGCTCAAGGAATCCGGAATCCCACTAATGAATGGAATCTGGAATTTTAGCTCCACTGACAAAAAATCCGGAATCCAGTATCTGGAATTGGAAATTCAGTACCTGGAATCCGGAATCCATTTCTTGGAATCCAGATTCCCAGACTGTCTTGGAATCCCTTACATGGCACAAGCCAGTTGAGGTGGGAAAAACTGCCTTAAACTGTCAATGATGAATAACTGAGACAATCAGTTGACCATAACAACCCCAAATTAATACAACTGATTTTATTCTTTTAAACTACTTAAACTTATTTAAACTATTTTGGGATCATGGAAATGAAATCAACTATTCTCTGCGTAGTACTAAACAAGCTGTGATCCTCTTACTTCAAGAGTCAGTTATAGAGAAAAATAATTTAGGCCTGACTTAATTTTGGGTCTGCAAGAATTATACTTACGGTAAGTGTGGTCATTAAAATGAAAGTTAGTGTGTAGTACTCTCCTGCCATAGTGTTTATATATAGGAGACGTCACTGTTCATAAACATTGTTTTTGTTATTCAAATTTATAACAGTTGGCACATCAATATGAATAGGTGATGTCAGCGTGAGCATTGCTTTTACATACGTATGCTGTAAAAATGAGTTCTAACTTCTGAGTCTGTGGAAACAATCCTCTGGTTGGACCATTTGGATCAAACTTGTGTAGCAGATCTTCCACATGGTTCTATTTTACAAAATGAAACTTAGAATTTTTAATTAAAAATTTCATTTTGAAAATCTTAACGATTAAAAAAGAGATTTGAATTTTAGGAATTTTTAATATCTTATCTTGAAAGCAAATCAGGTATTATTCACAAGTATCCATACCTTTGCATAGCAACAAATGTACATAAAGGCTGCAGCAGATACTGAGCTTGAAGAGTTCAGCAAAAAAGTTGACTGTGACAGGAAGATACTCATAGCCACCATCTGTGAAATTAAGTACATCACAGATTGAAAGAGTGAAAGTGTCTGGAATATCATTAGGGTTAATAATGATTTTGCGCTATTTTGCTCAAATTATGCTTGAAAAAAAATACCTTATTCAGCCTTTGGAATGCTGGCCATATTGATCACTTATTTGATTCTGCTCACAATTCTGCTGGCAGAATTTATCCAAACCCACAAAGGATTTTTCTGCTCTGTTACGTAACCCAGGGTACGTTACAAGTGTTCGCAATATTTTTGTTATTGTTATTGTAACAAGCGCGACCTAACCGGCGGGAAAGAAATATTTCCGATTCTTCAAAGTTAGTATGCTTCCTTATACCATGCCCTCCTTCGTGACAACTGCAAAGTTAAGCCTAATATTTTGTGTCGCCATTCAAGGCAGATCAATCTTGCCGCAATGGCTGCGTGATGTTTGATAATTCACGTGTGCACGCTCTACGATGCAACAAAACTTGCATAAATAGTACGGTACGAAACCATGAAATGAAAGGCAAACTAGCGGAAGAGGAAAAAAACATACCCCATCCACGATATAAAGTGGAACTAACGCAAACGCTCTCTATATTGGTTCACTTACAAAAAAGACAAACAACAGGCCAAAATATCTTGAAATTAATTATGCACAGAAAACTACACCACGCAGCGCACATGTATGTAGCAAAAATGTTTATAAAAATATAAAAATTCGCGAAACTATCTATGTTTCAATCCAGCATGAACTGAGCGTAAATAGTAATCTATGCTTGCAGCTCAAATTTTTCACTCATGCAAACATACCCAACATGGTCGAAAGTTGATCAAAATGTTCATGGATAGTGCGCGGATCAAAACAATGTAAGAATAGTGCGGGAAGGTTGTTTACCTCGGATCGACAGCTTAATCAGTACCGTCCTTGAACAGGCAAGCGAGACATATATTGAGCCAAGAAGAAATGTATGGAGCAGGCTCGCCGGGTTCCACAAGACGTTCCTAAAAAATCTTGCGCACAGACGTCGAAGCTTCGAACAAACCGCCATGACGGTTTCAGGACAGTATGGGATCCGTGTGGGATTGGGGCCAATACAAAGGTCACTTTCCTATCACCCCGAGCGACAAATGCAGCGAGATCACGCGATCGTGATGTCAAGGTGGCGTGAGGCCTACTGCAAGTCCGCTGCTAGGGTTTTTCAAAAGCAGCTTAAAATATGAATGGGTATGTGATTTTCTAGAAACCAGGCGAGTCTATAAACGTATCCTTTCAGAGCAGAATTCTCCGAATGAGGTCTAAACTGTGGGAGAGGTCGGGATGGGAATCCAGGAGATTAGGGACCTTAAGATCCGACGACGGCGGGTGTCTACGACGGCGGCCGTGAGTTGGGGGGAATGGGGAGAGGTCGCCGTCGTATGGCGCGAAAAATTGACCTTAAGATCTACTGTGGAGGAGGCGGACGGCTTCATAACAAGCTTTCGGGGGCTTTCAGTATTTTAGTGAAAGTATGGCATCCTTTAGAGATATACGTAACCTTCTTGTCGAAAGTTTTGATGACGGTGATATTTCCGAGGACGAATTTCTCCTCCTTTACGATGCAAACACCTCGAAAAACCCAGATTTCCCTTATGACTGCTATGGATCGTTCGACTTAAATGAGATGGACGACAGCGAGTGTTTGGCTGAGTTTCGTTTTCATAAGAATGATGTTCCCGTCCTTTTAGAAGCCTTGCAGCTCCCTC